ATTTTCATAATTAATAAAAATTTACATTCGATCGTAATATATTGAAACTTGGACAAAGATTTTTCGAAGAAATTCTCGACAACAAACTCATCTTGTTTTAACTTCAACTAAGTCAACAACGACTACGTCAGGCACACACGCAGGAGAAAAAAACTGCCCTCTTTTTTTTTCTACGTAAGAAAGTTCGTTTATGTGAATCATACTTGGTACATAATTCGTTGAAACTCTTAAGTATATTTTACCATTTAAAAATAAAATATATTTTTAGGTTTAGAAAACTTAATTTATAAATAATTATTCATTTACGAAAAATATTTATTAATATTACTGGAAATTCACTTCAAATTAGTATAATCCATAGTGTCCTATATTATGCGCCATCTAGTGGCATCATACTTTAAAAAATATGAAATATATTAAAACGATAGACGGTGGAATATCTAGATTAAAATGAGTTATGAGTTTAACTCTAATTTATAGGAGATTATCGAAAATTAATTTGACAAACTATTCGTTCATTTTTTATTTGTGATCTCTTAAACGAGCCTATACAAATTTGAAAATATTGATTTAGAATCAGTTCGTCACGAATATGACTTCAAAATTTTTGTAAAAACGTATTCAAAATAGAAGTGAAAAATTATTTCATAATACAGCGAATGAAAGAGTAAATATTGCTCTATAAAATGATTAGTTTACTACAAGTTATTTGTCAACATTTGAATAAGAAACACCATGTTAATTTAGATAATTTTCTTGATTTCTTTGGAAAACAGACTTTCAAAATGTATTCCTAAATGATTATTCTGAAACTCTTGATTTTTATATAATTTTATTTAAAACAAATTCACCTTTAATGAGCAAAAATCGTCAATTCTTTGCACGATTCGATTACTTGATTTTTTCTATCGATTTCCAGTTGCCGTAAAAATTATTCGTACAATTTCGATAACGGTAACTTTTTTTGTTCTTTATCATTTCAAAAAATTTAATTATAAATTCATTAGATACAGGTAAGAATAAGTTACGCATTTGTACTATTTTCTTCATAATTCAATTCTATTGAATAAGCAGAGTTTTAATTATTCAAAAAGGAACGAATCTTTATTTTGAGATTGTTATCTGAAAATAAAGTTTTATCATTGAAATTATCTCCCAAACATCTTTACTATAAATTATTACAGACATTTGAAATAATATTTTTGGGAAAAAAAGAATTTCACTTTGTGACTTCCTGATAAAGATTCACTCTTTTTAAAACAGCTAACTCTGCTCATTCAATAGAATTGAATTATGAAGAAAATCGTACGAATGCGTAACTTGTTCTTTCGTACATCTATTAAAGTTTTTGAAATTATAAAGAACAAAAAAATGTCACAATTATCAAAATCGTATGAAGAATTTTTGTGGCAACTGTATAATAAATTAGAAAGAAGATTGATCATTTAAGAAATTTAAAAAGACTTATAAGAAGTTCAATTATTTCTCTTCGCAGAACTATGCTAATCGATTTTTGCACAAAAAATTCGGTCTGTTAATGCGTATAAAATCGATTGAAATTTGTAATGGAATCGGTTGCATCATACGTCAGTTTATTATTGGATATTCAAAAATATTTAATTAACACATTAGTAATTTAATCCTTTTGAGTTGATAAAACTATGTTGATCTGTCAACAAAATCGGATCTTAAAGATAGTCAAATATTTTTTATGAGAGGTAAACACGTAGGAAGACATTACTCAAATGAAAAATTTCTTCTATTTTAAAAATCAAACAAAAAGAAGCCGATTTATCTTTTTAAGGCTTCTCCGTCTCCAAAATCGATTTTCGATACAATGCACGGAATCTCTCTGAAAATTTCCACAAATTTTCAGCGCATAAAAATAAACTTACGACTTTTATTTTTATCTCTATAAAAATCACCGTTTAGAAGTTTTTGAGAGATCAAAGTGTAAAATGGACTTTCGGTCTGTACAACTATTTTTTTCACTATACTTCAAGCTGTAGAACTGTCTGTCCGTTCAGATGAGGAGAAGCAAATTTTTATTGCTGCTCTCTTTAATTTTTGGAGACATTAAAACCTCTAAAATCATTAGAGATTGTCTACAGAACTAGAGTCTATTTAAAAAACTTCTTTCGTTCATTCGAAGAAGCATCAAGTGCTTCAATAGACAAAACAAATCGCAGCTCTCTATAATGAGCTATATTTGAAAAACATACTAAAGAAGTTTTCTCTTGAATATCATTCTAAATCGAGCTAAAAACACAAACATTATATATCAATGGTAAATGCTCATCGCAATGTATCGAACTGTACTTATCGTGAGATAACTAATGATCGATGGCGCCAGTTATTAAAATTGTAGTGATGTGTATTCTAATGATTACACAACGTAACATGTAATGATTATTCCAGTCAGCTATAGAATCTTTTTAAAAACTTCTTGAAAATTTTCGACATTCAATAATATATTTATATATTTGTAAAGTAGATATTTCAGACGACATGCTCATATAGTTATCTTAAAAATCATTTTTTTTTGACGAAAATCGACTTTTTGAAAGAGAAGCTCTTAGATGCTATTTTCGAGCGAAATAGTTTAAGTTTTAAAACGTAATAAACTCTCTTTTGTTACTTAATATCAATAAATAAAGGATAGCAACTATGTACAAAACTTGCGCTTTTTTCTCTGAAATTTTTTAAAGCAAAGAAATTTTCTTGCAGGAAATGGTTCTTAAAATTTTTTTTTCGATATACATTGATACACATGAATAGATCCTGTACATTTATGGATACAGTCCAGCTTCTGTTTTTTTTTCTAAATTTGAATTGAATGGAACAAAAACGTAACTTGCATGAATACTTTGGAGAATAGAACAAAGTTCATCCGAAGATTTTAAAGCATAGTTTATCAAAAGCATTGGAAAGTTAAATTTTTGAACAGTTTTGCAAAATTCTGATTTTAGTAGAAGGTATGGGTGTGAATGTTGGCGTAGTTAAGACTAAAACCCATACCCAATCCATCTAACCCTAGACTGACGGGATAGACGTGCACATATAGTCGAATGTAGGTGTAAAGACGCTCTAGATAGTATTCGGGTTTCACTTGACTGTAAAATGCGATGCAAAGCTCCGAATGTCGCTTATCAATAAATCGATAATTTGTAGAAAATGTATAACATTTTGTACGAATGAGTACAAAACATGACTCTCTTATAAATAACTAAAGTCTACTATAATTGGCATCCTTCCTTTGCCTATGTGTATAGAAAAGAATGACATTTTGATCAGCATCAGAAACACAAAATTGAAGAGTTAACATAACAAATTTCATTATGTTGAGAATTCTATCAATACTTGTGTACATGTTTCTAGGAAAAAAATCCTATCGATTCATCGTTTAATAATTCATGCAATTCATCATCCACTATTAGCTGGTAATATCAGCTGTTTAAAAAAGTAAAGACTAACTTTTTATGCTGTTTTCATTTTAATTATTTTGAAATTTAAAAAACAGCGAAATCTTCAACCGATCTGAGAGTGGTTTTATTATCTACAAATTTAAAAGTTTTTATCAAACTTTCTAAAAGCGCTCAATTGTTTGGATCATTGCCGTCACGAAAGTACAGGCTGTGTTTGTATGGATGTGTTGGTGTGGTTTTGGACGATCCTTTGTCTCTGTCGAGTTCTAATTGAGTCTCCATCAGAGTTTGTTGATCATTCCTAAGAAACATTCTATTAGGACGTAGTTAGTTAATAGTCTAATTCTTCGAAAAAAATGGTTAGATATGTCGTATCGTACAAAGCACCCAATTTGGTATTGATTCTATGAGTCATCATGTTGTAACTATGCATCAATATCAATCATGACTAATTGTCCTCTTTTTATTGACGTCTTCCGTCTGGCCTTCTTCACTCCTTGCCTCATACGAACTCTCCTACTTACATGACGGTAAACAGAACAGAAAGAAAAACATATGATTCGTTTTTTGCGCGGAAGAAAAAGTTACACAAGGCAAAAACATTAAATAATCTCTCAATCGATTGAAACGACATCACAAATATCAGACAACACAACGTATTGTTGAATATTTTTGAATTCTTCACAATAAATGAAATTTATTATTCATTTCATGAAGTTATTCCATATCTAACATTATTGTTGGTAAATTCCAAAGTTCGACTTTGTATACGTAATTAAATTGTTACTGAGATTGATCCTATACAAGTCGTATCACTCGACATGCAACGTCTTTTACAATCATTCTCACAATTACTATTCGATTTTATCAATCTTCATCAAGATCTATTCTCGAACTTCGATGTTTTCAACAGTTCAATATTTGTTTCTTTCATGAGAAAAAAATTCCTATTTAAGATATTATTCGATTCTGTTAGACAATGTCCTGTTTAAAATAATGTACATTAAATACTAAAGATTATCATGATGATCAAGATCTATTTCATTCAAGTATATGGCAACAGTTCATTGAGTATGATCACATTATGCTCAAAAAATTTCAAGTCAATATGACATACGCAAATCCTTTTATGATTTTCAGTACAATTCACATTGGCTTTCATTGAATGATGATTCTTACTTTTGTGAAATCAATTTTAAATTCGACCAGAACTGTTGAGGAAATACTGTTCTCAATGGTAACTATGGCGAGATCAACATGAATTGATTGTTAGGACATAGGCTTCACAATTTGAAGGTGTGAGTGTTGGTGTGAGCAAAGAGAAGAGACATTTATCCACATCTCACATCTTCAAGATGAAATTCAACGTTTAAAATATAATCTTTGTCTTGAACTTAATCTTTAATAAGATATGGTGCCAGTGTGAATCTTCTCTTTATTCGCATCCACACAGCTTGTATAAGGAAGAAGTAAAGATAAAAGAAATTTTCTAGTAGAATTGAAAATTTTGATGGAATTAGGATTAGTATGTATTTTAATTGGAAAATAATATATACTCCAAAATAGAATGAAATTCTACCACCAAAGATATAATTGAGAATCAATTGATTTAATCAAATAATTATCAAGTAATTCTTCTGATTCAATAAGAGTTTTCAATATTCCAATCATTGATTTACGTGTATTTTTTATATATATTGAACATAAATGTTGAATATTGATTTTAGTTTTTAATAGTATAAATCGTATGATTGATTCAAGATGTTGTGTATAAATATCGATTGTAAGATTTTGCATTTGAGGACACAAAGCAACAAATAGTTTGATATTTTCAAATGAATATTTTTCTTTTATAGTCACATTTGTAATTTTATTTGTATTCGATACTAATCGAAACGTTTCACTTTGTTGAATTAAGATAGAATTTGATTCGGTAATTGATTGAGAATTGAATGTCAATGTATGAATATTAGGAGTAAAATGTAATAATTTAATCAATTGATCAAAAGAGAAAGTGTCACAATCAATGGTTAATGTAGTCAACTGTTTTAGAGGAATAATACGTTTGAGAATAATCCGAAGCCATACACGACTTTCAGCAAAATTATGCGAAAGAGTAAGTTTCGTAGCATTTCGAAAATAATTTACACAATTCATTATTGCTTCTTCATCTTGGATATTAACATGATCCACAGAATTTATATGACTTGTTGGATGACGTGAACGGAAATTTTCGGTCAATTGTTTATACAATGTGTATTGTTTTCTTCTTTAAAAAATTAAAAATAATATATAGACATTTTAAGTACTGAATTGAAGAATTTAATTTTTTTTTACCTATACGGATTTATTGAATAGAAAATGACGTATTTTTGATATTCTTCCATGTAAAATTGATATCCAAAGAACCATTTTCGTTGGAACCAAAATGAAGAACAAAATTGATTAACTATAGAATTATATATCAATTGATTATTATTATTATTTTCTATAAAATTAATATATTGAAAATCGAATATACGTAAATCAGGCATAGAAGATAATATTATTTGTTCCCATCGATTTGCATCGAAATATGTTCTATCATAATGTGTTGTGATATGTAAAATTTGAAGTTGATGAAATAAATTTTTAATCATTAATTCAAATTTATCAAAATTAATATCTTTCATATTAATAGAAACATATGTTAAATGTTTAGAATAACATGAAAATAATTCTAATTGTTTGTTATGACTTCCATCAAGATAATGAAATGTTAAACGACGAATTTTAGGAATATATGATAATAAAGCATTAAAATTAGTAAGATAAAATCGATGAGTAATAACAAGATGTTCAATAGAACTTATTACATTTGTTGCAATAGGTAATGAATAATAATCTGAATATTCTTTCAATGATATTTTACAATATTTCAATACTGGTAAACGAAATATATGTTGATAAATTTCATTTGGATTTCGACAACAATCAATAGGAATCATAATTAATGATGATAGATTAGGTAAAGAAACTAAATGATTGAGAATATTAATAAGATATTTTGATTTAATATTATCAAAAATAAGTGTTTCTAATCGAGTAAAATTTGATGCAATACGTACTGGAGAAAAAATAATATCAACAATAAATGAATTCGATAAATATAATGATATAATTCGATGTTTATTAGGCATAATAATATGTCTATTATAACTTTGAAAAATTGATTTTGACATAGATGAAATATTGATTTTTAAAGGAAGTGTTGAATTTGTAAGAAGATTTTGTAAACGTATATTAAGATTGTAAAATGCTTTATATACATAATAAACATCGAGATAATTAAATATTTCATAAAAAATTTCATTAGAAAAATCTTCAATAAGTGTAACAGATTTTTTTGATGAACTAAAAAAAAGATAAATAATTAGATTTTGACAAAGAAAATATAAAGAAATATTCTAATTTGACTAACATCTTTGACTCTTCTATTAATTTTTTTTTCTTGTTAATATTCCAATAATCAAAAATAATTGTTCGTCGTTGTGGTTTTGTTTGTTCCATATTATAATCAAAAACGAAATACTTCAAAAATAGTAAATTAATTAGAGTACGAGACAAAAAATTCCTTTTT